TATTATCTAAAATTGTAAATATTATCTTCCACATTGAGTTCTTGATTCTTCTATAATCTCCCTCTTCCTTTTCCCCCTCTCTTTTCATCTCTCCCTCCACCCCTCTATTTTTCTGTTCCTTCTCTGTCCCTCTCCTCATGGCTCTCCCCCTCTTTTCCCTTCCCACCTTTTTTCTGTCCTTTCCCTCATCCCTCTCCATGTCCCTTCCTGTCTCTGTGTATGCTGTGACATACACATTTTTGTTTATTGCTTTTCCATAAAGTTAACTACTCAACAATCACATAATCTACAATTCAGTACTATCAGGTTTCAAGTATGTCTATTTGTTTCTGGATTCAGTTTACTATCATATATATTTGCATATTGTTGAATTATTACATCATGGTCATAATTGCAATACCTCTTAATATCTTATATCAAATTTCCCTACCTGGTTTTATTTCTGGGCCATCTTAAATATTCCTGGCTCTTTGATCTTAAGTATAAATGTTAGAATAATGTAGTTATGTCTTACAACTTCACTGGGATTATTACTGAAATTTATTGAATCTATAAACCATTGTATAGAAAAATGTCAACTTTATTATTTAAAATGTTTCTATTGATGAGCATGAACAGTTTTTCCATTTCTCTAAGTTTTCTTTAATTATTTGCAAAAAAAATCTAAAAACCTTTTCTTCATAAAGATCTTCTACATAAAGATCTTCTACTCCCATTTCTAGGAATCTTAAATTCTTTACTGCTATTTTAAATAATGTTTCTAAATTTAAGCTTTCGGTGTTACCATTAGAAATACAATTGACTTTGGTATGTTTATTTTGTATTGAAAAATGATAAATCATCCCAATTCTAATATTTTTATTAATATTTTTAGGCTTCTGGAGAATATCCTATCATATCTGAAAATTACAATTTGTTTATCTCTAATTATTACACCTTTTGTCATTACTGTGTCTTATTTAATTAACTACCCAGTACTTTTAGTATAATACTAAAATTTGCTTGTAGTGGGAGTCTGATTATTTCATGTTAAAACATAAATATTTTAATATTTCACATTTTTGCAATATGTTTGATGTATGTTTTTGAATAATATTGACCATTTTATGGTAATGATATTTCTTTTGCCTTGGATAATATATTTAGGATGAATATTAACTTAAATGTTCTAATTTTTCCATCTGTTGAGATATAGTGAATTATATCCACAGATTTATAAATGGTATACCAACCTTGCACTTCTGAAATAAACCAAAGTTGATCTTAAAATGAACTTTTCATACATTGATGAATTTAGTATGTTAATATTTTGCTTATGAAATTTGCATCTATGTTTATAAGTGAGATTGATCTGAATTTGTCTTTCATATATTGCCCATGGTTTGTATAATTTAAAAGCTACATTGTACTCATAAAATTAGTAAGAGTTTGATGTTTTTTCTATACTACTAAAGAATATGAATAAAGATGGAATTTTTGAATGATTGAACTTACCTGGAAAAATATCTACACTTAGTGTTTAATTTATGTCAAGATTTTAAAAAGATTATGTAATTTTTATACTAGATAAGGATATATATATTTTAAGATATAGTTTAGGTAAATTTACATTTGTGGAATTAAGTGTAATATTATTCATAATATGGTTATTGTTTAATTTTTTCTTCATTAGCATTTATGACCACTTTTAATTCTTCACAATTTTAAACTTGTTTATTATAAATTGGATCAATAATTTCATTAGTATATCTGTTTATTTTGTCTTTATCAAGAATCAAATCTTTCTTCATTCTCTTTATTTTGTCCTTGTTTTATATCTCATTTTTTCTATTTATTCAAGTGCAATTAAATACATTGTTATATTAAATTCAAGTGTACAATATAATGATTCAACAATTCAATACCTTTCTCAGTGCTTATCAAGAAAAGTGTACCTTCTATCCCCTTTATTTATTTTACACATTCCCCACCCACCTCCACTCTGGCAATCACCAGTTTGTTCTCTGTATTTAAGAGTCTGTTTTTTTTTTTTTTTAAGATTTTATTTATTCATTTGAGACACAGAGATACAGAGAGAGAGAGAGAGCATGAGCAGTGGGAGAGGCAGAGGGAGAGGGAGAAGCAGACTCCCGGCTGAGCCAGGAGCCCCATGTGGGGCTCGATCCCAGGACCCTGGGATCATGACCCGAGCTGAAGGCAGACGCTTAACCATCTGAGCCACCCAGGCGCCCCGAGAGTCTGTTTTTTTTTTTGGTCTCTTTTTTCCTTTGTTCATTTGTTTTGTTTATTAAATTCCACATATGAGTGAAATCATGTGGTGGTATTTGTCTTTCTCTTACTGACTTATTTCACTTAGCATTATACCTTCTAGGCTCAACCATGTTGTTGCAGATGACAAAATTTCACTAATTTCTGATTTCTTATTTTTTAAATTCCTTCCTCCTATTTTGAGGGTTTATTCTGTTTTTTCATAAATTAGACATTTAACTCTTTGATATTCACCCTTTCTTTTTACTTACATAAACATTTAAGACTATACATTTCTTACTAATTCCAGCATTAGCTGCATTCCACCCCTTAATCTCTAATATTTGGTTCTCATCCATTTTTTGAGTGGGGGGGAAGGGCAGAGGGAAAGGGACAGAGAATCTTAAGCAGGCTCCAAGCCCAGTGTAAAGCCCAATGTGGGGCTCAATCTCACATGATCATGACCTGAGTCAAAATCAAGAGTCGGACATTTAACCAACTGAGGCACCAGGTGTCCTTCATTCATTTTTAATCAGTTTATAATTTTCATTAAAATTTTGTCTTTGATACTTTTTTTAGAAGTGCCTTTTAGTATTTCCAATTGCAGTTGTTATTTGGTGGGGGTTTTTGGTTATTTTTTAAGGTTTTTTGCAGAGTTTATTCAGTTTCAACATACATATTCTAAATTTAATTAATATTTCTCTTTTTGATAAATGCAAATATATTCAAAGCTTTTTAAGTCAAATCAGTTTTCATGATTTAGTCCTTTAGCATTACAGAGTTTTCATCCTTTGTATTATGATAATACTATAAATTAATGCAGTCAGTATTTTAAAATTTACCTCTAGTTACACCATTTTTAAATGTTCATTGTTTCTTTTTATACCATATATATCTTATTCTGGGATTTCTATATGTCCTCAATTAATCATATAAATTTCCCTTTAGTGATGATCTTTTTTTATAAATTTTTTTTTAAATTTTTAAAATTTTATTATGTTATGTTAATCACCATACATTACATCATTAGTTTTTGATGTAGTGTTCCATGATTCATTGTTTGCGTATAACACCCAGTGCTCCATTCAGTACGTGCCCTCTTTAATACCCATCTCCAGGCTAATCCATCCCCCCACCCCCCTCCCCTCTAGAACCCTCAGTTTGTTTCTCAGAGTCCATAGTCTCTCATGGTTCGACTCCCCCTCTGATCTCCCCCCTTCATTTTTCCCTTCCTGCTATCTTCTTTTTTTTTTTTTTTAACATATAATGTATTATTTGTTTCAGAGGTACAGGTCTGTGATTCAACAGTCTTACATAGTGATGATCTATTGGCAGTAGACACTTTCATTATTGTTGGAAAAATCTTTATTTTACCATCTTTCTTGGAATGGTTTTCCTGGGTATGTAATTCTAGATAGACAGTAATGCTTCCCTAGCTCTTTGAAGGTGGTATTCCACTATCTTCTAGTTCTACTGTGGTTCTGTTATCTGTAAACAGAAGTATGTTATTAAGCCAGTCTCTCAAATAAATCTAAAAACTAAAATATCTGATTTATAGTGATTTATCTCATTCAGTAATTTTCATGGCTATATTCAAGCCAGCAATGTGACAGCCCTGAAGACAAAGTTCAAAAGATACGTGCAAAATGGAATTTTTTTTAGACTAAGTTTTATTTCATTCAGACTGAAATTTTTGGAATACCTCTTTGTGATTTGTTCTCCATCCTGTTCTTTTCACCTGTATTACTTCTCATTTTATTCTGTTCCACCAACCTATGTAAACTCAATGGTATGTACCCTTCTGTTGTCCAAGTACTTATAATCACATACAAATATTCATTTATACATGTACATACAATTGTGCATAGACATATATGTGAGAAAGTGTCACTGTTTTGTTTACCAAATAAACAGTTTGCATTACAGAGACTTCTCTGAATTTTCCATCTGTCTCCCAACAGTATTTTGGAAAAATAACACTAAATTAATGAGAAAAAATCATGTAGACATAATTTATTTAATAATTTATTTATTGATTACCATTAAATATTTCCATTATTTTACCCCTAACTAAATGAGGCTATAAATATCTTTGAAATTAAAAACAAAGAGTAGAGGTGTTGATTCTTAATACTCCAACTGGGAGTAGGGGCCTTGAGCTTAAAGAACCTTAATCAAATAGTGATTTCTGTTCACATTTCTCCACTTTGCCAAGAAAAACAGCTTCATCTTATTTAGCTACCTAACCTCTGATAACAGCAGAGAACCCTATTTTCCTAATAAAGGATCCAATGAAGGGGTCTGTTGAGCCCTAACAGCAGGATAACATTTCTTTTACTTAATTCCCCTCCACTTCTCACACTTTCTCTGGTGATTTTTGTCTTACTTAGCACTAGATCTGTCAAAAATATCCAACATACTTGATTAAAATGAAGGCCCTAGGGATTCCACTGAGTCAAGCATCTGGGCATGAGTCTCAAGCACCTGCTTTAACTATAAACCCTGTAAGTAGACACAACCACAACAAATAAACAAAAGATTTCTCTGGAGAAAACAACTAACAATGTCCATGAGACGGAAAAGGTAGAATAGAACCATTTAAAATGATTCAATACCTGGATCAGAAATTACTCTGCTGCCACCAAAAATGAACTGAAACGAAAATGTCATATCAATTTTATCAAACACCATGCCAAAGCACAAAGGAAGATGTCACCTTCCACAAGTGCTCCTGTGATCTGACACTTCAAGCAGGCCCTTGTGCTCTGGATTCCTTAAAAGCATCTTCTCTGAACAACATATGTCCCAAACTCCATGAAATCAGCAGAAGTGATCCACATCTGCCTGAAACTGCTCAGAGAGGTCACAATGGATGCACCTATCCATGCAGAGAAACATCTATCAGGAGAAGCTGTGATCTTGATGGGAGTTCCTCTGGAAGCCAACTGTTCCAGTTCTTTCATAAGTCTTTCCTCAAGCCCAGGGAAAAGAGTGGTGCCCCCAGACAGCACAATTTCTGCAAAAAGATTATTTTGGATATCAGTGTCACACTTCATAATGCTGCTGGACACCATTTTGGAGAGTCCTGGGTTGTGGATACCCAGCTGGTCAGGTGCAAAAAGAATTTCAGGCACCTGATGCAGCTGGTCTCCAATGTAGATAACATTCCCATCTGGCAGTCTGTATTCTCTCAGAACCTCTTCTGGCCTCTTACATAGCTCTTTCTCTGGATCCAAGGCCACATAACACAGCTTCTCTTTGATGTCACCCACTAAGGCCTTATTGAGTATGCAAGGGAAGTTACTTCCACTAGCAAGGAGGAGCCGAGTGAGGTGCTCTGTGATGTCCCTTCCTGCCACGTAGAGCTTGGTAACAGCATGAGGCAGGGAGTAACCCTCAAAGATAGGGACAGTGCAAGTGACCCCATCCCCACTGTCCACCACTAATCCCGTGACAGAGGCAGAGGCATATAGTGCTACCACTGCATGATTGGACAGGTAGAAAGCAGGCACATTGAAGGTCTCAAACATCACTTCTGCCATTTTCTCTCGAGTCTCCCTTGGGTTCAAGGAGGGCTCAGTCATGAGCACAGGTCGTTGACAGGGTTTTACTCCTAGCTCCCACTCAAAAAGATACTTCCAGAGTTTCTCCATGTCATCCCATCCTGTTACTAGTCCACGCTCAATGGGGTAGTGCAAATGCAAGGCGTCGTATTTGTATAGGGCTTTTTCTCCCACAAGGTACCTTTTCTTAGTGGCTTCTGATAATGGCATGTTGAATTTAGGATGTCCCACGACAGAACTGATGACATGACGGGGTCCAATCTCTCCAGAAAGGCCTGCTTTGCAGAGTCCTGATCCGTTGTCAAAAATTACAGCTGGAATATCTAATACATATGGGTTAAACATATCCGCAGCATGCTCTTCTGAACTCCAACAAAATAAAAAACACTTTGCCACTTTGTGTGATAACAGGCACTTCTGGAAGTTTTAAAACCACAGGATTCCAAAGTTCTCAAGTTGACACTCAGGAGGAGCTAGCAGACTGTCCCCAGTCCCCCAGAATACCCCGTCTTCAACCCATGAATGTTGTCCCCTTTCAGGCAGTGCAGGGCCTGCTGTGGCAATTTCAGTGATGATTGCCCCCCTATGTAACAATCTAGCCAAGGCAACAATTATTCTCAGAGAGCAACAAAGGGATTTTAAGGGGTGGGGTCTCTGAGCCACCAATACTCCTAGCTTGGAGAAACATGAAAAAGAGGAAGGCAAACCATACCCATGGACAGCTTATGTCTATGAACCTGAAGCAAAGGCCTAGCCTTAGAACCAAGTGAAGTAACCCAACTGTGGGCTTCTTCCAGAAAACTGGCTTCTATGCACAGCTAAGTTATTTGAGGGGGGGAATGACAAAAAAAAAAATACCCTTACCTTTGTTAAGGGGAGGAACTAACCACAAGACACAGGTTGAGACTGGAATGAGGATGCCCTTAATCCAGTTTCAGAAGAGCTCAGAAAACTATCTTTTATTACCTCCCATACATGTTTCTTGTTTTTAACAGCTTTTTTCGAGATAAATTTCACAAATAATACATTCACCCATTTATAGTGTACATTCCCATATTTTCAGTATATTCACTGATATGTGCAAATGTTACAAAAGTCAAGCTTAGAATATTTTATTTACCTCAAAAAGAAACCTTGTATCCTTCAGCTATCACCCTCTTTAGACTGTCCTCCTGGGACTTAAACACCATTAATATATATTATGTCTCTATAAATTTCTTCTGCCTTTTTCATATAAATGGAGGCATGTAATGAGTCCTTTTGTGTCTGACTTAATTAATTTACCATATTGTCTTCAAGGTTCTTTCACTGTTTGGATATAATACATTTTATTTACCTATCTTACAACATACCATTGTTCAAAGTATTTATTTATAATCCTCATGTATCTATGTAATGTCAGTAGTAATATTCTCTCTACTTCTTTGAACTTTTTAAAAGAACTGGCTTTTTGCTGGTGTAGTAATACTTATATCAGACAAAATAGACTTTAAAACAAAGACTGTAGCAAGAGACAAAGAAGTATATATATAATGATGAAGGGATCAATCCAACAAGGGGATATACCAATTATAAATATCTATGTACCCAACATAGGAGCACCAAAATACATAAAGCAAATATTAACAGACATTAAAAAAAAGAAACAGACAGTAACATTGTGATGGTTAAATTTATGTTAACTTGATTTGGCTAAGGAATGCCCAGATAGCTTGTACAACATTATTTCTGACTGTATCCCTGAAGATATTTCTAGTAGAGATTAGCATTTGAGTTGATAAAGTAAGGAAAATTGCCTCACCAATGCAAGTGGGCACCATTCAAACTGTTGAAGGCTCTGAATAGAACAAAAAGGCAAAGGAAGAGCAATTTTACTTTCTGGAAATGGACGTCTCTGGGACACCTATCCCCTGCCAATGGACAATGAAAATGGCTACTCTTGTCTCTTGGGCCTTTAAACTTAGACCAGGACTTTCACCATTGATTCCCCTGGTTCTCAGTTATTTTGGCTTGGACTAGAACTATACTACCAGCTTTCCTTAGTCTCCGGGATACACATGGCAATTTATACGACTTCTCAGTTTCCATAACTGCATGAGCAATCCCTCATAATAAATCTATCTCTATTATCTATCTATCTATCATCTATTATCTATCATCTATTATCTATCATCTATCTATCTATCTATCTATCTATCTATCATCTATTGATCAATCATCTATCTATTCTATTAGTTTTATTTCTCTGGAAAACCTTAATACAAACATCAACTCTTCCTTTTCCCAGCTTTTTTGAGGTATACTTAATATACCAAAATTTTTAAATGTATATATATGGGTTTCTTTTTTTAAAGAGAGAGAGCATGAGCAGGAAGGGAAGGGCAGAAGCAGAGGGAGAGAGAGAATCTTCTTTTTTTTAAAGATTTTATTTATTTATTTGACAGAGACAGAGATAGCGAGAGCAGGAACACAAGCAGGGGGAGTGGGAGAGGGAGAAGCAAGCTTCCCACCGAGCAGGGAGCCTGATGTGGGACTCGATCCCAGGACCCTGGGATCATGACCAGAGCTGAAGGCAGATGCTTAATGGCTGAGCCACCCGGGTGCCCAAGAGAGAGAATCTTAAGCAGGATCCACATCCAGCATGGAACCAGACATGGGGCTCATTCTCACAACCCTGAGATATGACCTGAGCCAAAATCAAGAGTTGGACATTTAACCAACTGAGCCACCCATTCCCCCCCAAAATTGCAAATATATAATGTATACATTTTGATGAGTTTGAACACAAGCATACACCTGTGGCACCATTCACAATCAAGGTAATAAATATATCCATCACATCCAAAAGATTTCTTGTGTCCTCTTGTTGTGTGTGTGTGCTAAAAACACTTAGCATGATGGGCACCTGGTGGCTCAGTTGGGTAAGCATCTGCCTTTGGCTCAGGTCATGATCCAGGGTCCTGGGATCGAGCCTCACATGGGGATCCCTGCTCAGTGGGGAGCCTGCTTCTACCTCTCCTTCTGCAGCTCCCTCTGTTGGTTCCCCTGCTTGTGCTTTCTCTCTCTCTCTCTTTTTCTCTCAAATAAATAAATAAAATCTTTAGAGAAAAAAACACTTAGCATGAGATCTACCTTTTTAACAGTTCTTAAGTTCATGAATGATTGTTAACTACAGGCACAATATTGTGCAACAGATTTCTAGAACCTATTCATCTTGTAATACTGTGACTTTATACCCATTGAAAAACAATGTCCCATTTCTGCTCTGCGGATCCTTTAACCATCAGATAACAAAATAGGACAATAAGCAAGAAAGAAAATAACAAAATAAATATAATACAGATAGAAACCAATAAACAAAATAGTTTATTAAATCAAAATTACTTCAAATATAAAAGGATTAATTCCCCAAATTGGCAAAATAGATGAAAAAGCAAGACCCAATTATATGGTGTCTACAAGGGGCTCACTTTAGTTTTAAGGATACATATAGACTGAAAGTGAAGAGATAGAAAAAAATATTCCATGCAAATGGTAACCAAAAGAGAGCAGGGGGCTATACATATATCAGACAATACAGATTTTAAGTCAAAAATTGTCACAAGACACAAAAAAGGTCAGAACATAATAACAGAAGGGTCAATTAATGAGGAATATGAAACAATTATAAATATATATGCACAAAATTTCAGAGCAACATGTTTTCTGCCCATTTCTTGACTGGATTATTTGTTTTTTGGGTGTTGAGTTTGATAAATTCTTTATAGATTTTGGATACTAACCCTTTATCAGCTATGTCACTTGCAAATATCTTCTACCATTCTGTGGGTTGCCTTTTAGTTTTGCTGATTGTTTCCTTCACTGTGCAGAAACTTCTTATCTTGATGATGTTACAATAGTTCATTTTTACTTTTATTTCCCTTGCCTTTGGAGACATATCTGGAAGAAGTTGTTATGGCCAATGTCAAAGAAGTTGCTGCCTGTGTTCTCCTCTAGGATTTTGATGGTTTCCTGTCTCACATTTAGGTCTTTCAACCATTTTGAATTTATTTTTTGTGTGTAGTGTTAGAAAGTGATCCAGCTTTATTTTTTGCATGTTGCTGCACAGTTTTCCCAACACCATTTGTTGAAGAGGCTGCCTTTTTCCTATTGGATATTCTTCCCTGCTTTGTCAAAGATTAGTTGATCATATAGTTGTGGGTCCATTTCTGGGTTTACTCTTCTGTTCCATTGATCCATGTGTCCATTTTTGTGCTAGTGCCACATTGTCTTGATGACTACAGTTTTGTAATATAATTTGAAGTTTGGAATTGTGATGCCTCCAAGTTTGCTTTTCTTTTTCAAGATTGCTTTCACTATTCAGAGTCTTTTGTGGTTGCATACAAATTTTAGGATTGTTTGTTCTAATTCTGTGAAAAATGCTGGTGGTATTTTGATAGGGATTGTATCAAGTGTGTAGATTATTTTGGGTAGTATAGACAATTTAACAATATTTGTTCTTCCAGTTCATGAGCATGGAATATTTTTCCATTTCTTTGTGTCATCTTCAATTTATTTCAGAAGTGTCCTATAGTTTTCAGAGGACAAATCTTTTACCTCTTTGGTTAGGTTTATTTCTAGGTTATCTGTTGGGTTTTGGTGCAATTGTAAATGGGATTGATTCCTTGATTTCTTTCTGCTGCCTCATTATTAGTGTATAGAAATGCAACAGATTTCTGTGTGTTGATTTTGTATCCTGTGACTACTGAATTTGTGTGTCAGTTCTAGCAATTTTTGGTGGAGTCTTTTGGGTTTTCTACATAGAGTACAATATCGTGTGCAAATAGTGAAAGTTTGACTTCCTCCTTGCCAACTTGAATGTCTTTTATTTCTTTTAAGAAACAAAAAACCAAAAAGGATTAGTGCCCTTTAAAAAGAGACTTCAGAGAGTTCCCTTGCCCCTTATGCCATGTGATAATACAGTGAGAAGACAGCCATCTATGAACCAAGAAGCAAGTCCTTGCCAGACACTGATTCTGCTGATGCCTTAATATTGGACTTCCCAGCCTCCAGAACTGTGAGAAATAAATTTCTGTTGTTTATAATCCATTCAATCTATGTTACTTTTGTGATAGAATTCTGAACAAATTAAGACAAACACACTCCTGAGCAATCAATAGGGCAAAGAAAAAAAAATCAAATAAGAAGTAAAAACATATCTTGAGACAAAGATGAAAACACAACACACCAAGACTTATAGGATGCATCAAAAGCAGTACTAACAGGGCCATTTATGGTGATAAATGTCTACATTTAGAAAGAAGAAATATCTCAAAAACAAAACAAAACAAACCTCGCTTTACACTGCAAGTAACTAGAAAAATAAGAACAAAATAAACCTAAAGTTAGCAGAAAAAGAATATAAAATTAGTGCAGAAATAAATAAAATAGAATATACGAAAACAATATAAAAGATCAATGAAAATAAGGTTGGTTTTTGAAAAAAATTTTTAAAAAGACCTTCAGCTAGATTAA